AATCCCAAAACTGATGCTGGTTTTATTTCAGTTTCTCAAAGCTTGGTGCACCTATTTTTCACACTACTTAACCAAAAACAAAGATGAAGGAAATGTCCATATCATTACCTAAATATAGAAGTGTTTTTTTAACAATTATTTTTATTTATTTTTTCTTTCTCATGGCTATAGTCATGAGTATCACTTTTCCTTTCAACAATGGTATAACTAGTCAGGGATGTTTAGATGATGTTGGATGCATTGTGGCAGTGTTTTAACTATGCCACCTTTGCCTCCAGCCAGGAATCTATCCGGGGTCATTGATGTAAAGGATCTTCTTTCATGCCATTATCCTTTGCAGACACATCCATATTACTCATTCTTTCATTTTTTTTGATGCATCAGGATGTACAATACATTTTTAACATATGAAGTTTGTGCTGGTAGTACTTGCTGAATACTGTACTGTAGTCACTTTCTTGGGGCAGTGATGCACATATCAAGCTGAGTTTCATAGTTTCACTGGGTGTAATGTTGCATATTTTTTTATTATTATTGGTGGTGACAATATAAGCTAGTTACCTATTATCTTGCGAACCTTTGATAAAACTGCAGCCATCTCCAATTAGGGGGTGTTCACATGGGCGCAAAAGATCATTTTTAAAACTGAAAGCAAATCATGATTTTTTTCATCTTGTTTTTTCTGTGGTATAATGATGAGGAACATTCTTGTATATAAACCTGTTGAGGAGGAAGGCTATACTGTTGATAGGTTCTCCATCATTTTATATCTGTAACAAGCTTTGCAGATTTAATGATTCCTTTGTAGTCAGATCTAAATAAATGGCACTACTGCAGAAGAACCTTCATTTTGCATCTATTGTTTAGAAGTATTTGTTGTGCAGTACAGTACAAATATGATTTACCCATATTTACATGTAACAAAACTTATATGTATTAATAATGGAAAGTCTGAAAATCTTACAAACAACCTAAATCACATTTTACTTGTACAGTACTGTGATATCCCTGTTAGCCAGAGCAATTGATGCAGAGCATTTACTGGGCTCAGAGGTTCCGAGTAACGAGACGACTCAAACCTGGAAAAATTCTTCGTCCCCAGAATTTTTCTCGAAACTTACTTGGAAAAGTGTTTCAGAATTTTCCGTAAATTGTGCATTGTTTCCCCTGGAATTTACTCCCAAACATGGCAGAAAAAAATGGAGAGAGTTTCCCAAATTTTCTTAGAATTTTCCAGATTTACACATTACAGTACTGTATTTCATCCTTGGAATTTGTTCCCAGACCCTGGGAAAAAAATCTTGAATTTTTCTTAGGATTTTACAGAAAATATGCCTGATTTTTAACCTTGGAAAATCGTTCATAAACCTGGAATTGATAGAAAAATTCCAACCAAATTTCAGTTCCGGTTATTGTAGAGTTCCGAGTAACGGAGATAATACTGTACGGTATTTTATTGTTTGGTACAGGTGGGTAACTGACGACTGCCAAATTTTGTACATAACTTGGTTCACAATTCTTAATGCATGCCATTCAGCCTTTAACTTGTACCAACCTTGGATGGAACACTGGCCTTTTGTTTTATTTTACAGTATTTTATTTTTGTATTTACAGCTCCTCCCAGACTTAGGACCTACTCGACTTACAACCACCTCAGTCGTACCAAAATTTTGTCAAATTATGAATTTTCGAGTCCCAACGTCAGTGATTGCGCTGTGTACTGACAAAATTTTCATTTGTAATTAACTTTAAAATGGCTGGCAAGTTTAAAAGTGAGAGTTTTGTGGTGCTGAGAAGAAAAAGAGACACCCATTTTAGATTTTCTATGTACAGTATTATTTAATCATTTTCGACTTACGACCTGGATTTGGGTCCCTAACCCCGTCGTAAGTCGGGGAGGAGCTGTATTTATTTTATTGATTTCTTTATTTATTTATTTTTCGTGGCAGTGAGATACTGTACAGGCACCCCCAGTGCCGGATTAACCATGAGGTACTTGAGGCACTGGCCTCAGGCCCCCCGACTCTAAGGGGCCCCCAAATCCAAACATTCTCGAAGTTGAAGTGCATAAAACATGAACTTCGTTCAACGATGTCCTAGCAAAGTCTCAATTTTCTGTCTCTTATGAACATGTATGTAACATGACATGAAATGGTAAAGAGTTCACCAAAAACATTTCATGTCCTTTCTTCATGCACGGCAGCATGGTTGTTTTACATGGATACAAGTACAGTCTCTCCTCGACTTATGACGGGGTTCCGTCCCGACGACCAGGTCATAAGTCGAAAAGGCGAAAATAATACATAAAAATTCTAAAATGGGTGTCTCTTTTTCTTCTCAGCACCACGAGAACTCTCACTTTTATGCTTGTCAGCCATTTTAAAGGGAATTGCAAACGAAAATTTTGTCAGTACACAGCGCGATCACTTATGTCGGGACTTGAAAATAAATAATGTGAAAAATATTTTATACGACCATCGCCGTTGTGTGTCCGGGTTGTCGTAAGTCGAGGAGAGACTGTATTACATAAAACCTTGAAAGTATGATGTGGTAGACATGGGTGATCGAGGCATTGTGTTTTAGCTACTGACTGACAGTAGCCAACATCACTGATAATGTTATATTAAAAGTAATACAGTATAAAATACACTGCCATTTTACTTTTGATCATCGGTAAATTGTGTAGTTCATGAAGGATATGCACATAGAGATGCCATATAATGGATTGTTTACATACTGGGATTTCTGGCACACACGTGTCTCCGACGTTGCCACATAACCTGGTTCAGCAAAACTGTCTGCCACAGGACTTTTGGCAGGGACTGTACATAGAGTAATAACAAAGTACATAATATTGTAATAAATAAATGTGGCACTGCGAGGCGAGTTGATGATGCGATGGGTAGCGTGATGAGGGGAGAGATGAGGTGACAGGGTTCTTACACAACACACAGATAATAGCATTACTTACTAAACCATTGTCTTATAACATTTTAATTTCTAATTCTATTTTTAAAGTAAATGTTACATGATGATTTAGTTTGGCTACTTTTGCACTTAGACAACTGATCAGTGGATAAATGAGGGCATATGGAGACGCATTATACGCGACTATAAATACAGTATACAGTATTATTTACTAAGTGCTCAAGACTGATCCTGTGGTAAGCACCAACCCTCGTGAGCAGTGACAACAACGGTGCTTGAGAGATGGTGAGTGCTGGCAACATTGTTAGGGAGAGTGGGTCAGCGGGACCAATCAGTTGTTACCGCTCTATAAACAAGAGACTGATACTATTCTACGGTGCAGTGGCACATCTGCTATTAACTGTGGGCTTTTGGAGGAAAAATTCATTGTTTTTCGATCATGTTTTATTAACCCGGCACCAAATGAACCCAAATAATATGGGAATTATAGTGAAATTGCATAATGTTGTTTTAAAGGGATCGCATGCAGCTGAATGGAAGATGGTTATTTGTCCTCCCTCCCTCCCTCCCTCTTCCGCCACCTCATCTCACCGGCTACACATCAAACATAGTGTTGTACAATATTTTAATATACTGTAATTCATATTCTATTCCTATAATCCATTCATCTCAATCAATTTCATAATATGTATATTCCTATAATAATAATAATCGACTTCTCAGAACCGCTCAGTTATTTCAGATTCATTCTGAATTCAAATTGTTAATTCATCTTGGAAAAAAAATCTATTTATAATTATCCAAAGTAACGAGGGTACAGTGCACTGTATTAGCACCAGGCACTGTAGAGGAGGAAAGGTTGATAAAGAGAAAGTGTAAGGCTTAGGAGGAGAAAGGGTAGACAAAGAACAAGGTGGATAGGCACCATGAAAAGAGCGGAGAATGGATGACAGCAACAGAGGAGCAGTCCAGATGGAAGAGGATTGTGGAGTGAGCCTGACTCTAAAAGGTTCATAAGGTGAATATTCCTTGGGACTGAAGGTCTTAAGATTGTTGAAATAACACTCAATAATAATGTCAAACTTACCTTGAGATGCTTCCTGAACTAAATACATTCACTTAGCCTCAGTTAGGGGGACAAAATTTACTTCCTGAATCTTTACAAAGATTCTCCACCATTGTTGGTGATGTGGAGGAGCACCAAAGATTCTCCACCATTGTTGATGTGATGTGGAGGAACACCAGTGATACTTCTCTCATCCTGGGAGGTGATTGGGGGTTGTGCGTGTGTGCATGCATACATGTGTGTGTGCATGCATGCGTGCTCACAAAGTACCACCATAGCCTATTTCATCCACTCAGTAAGGTGTTGAGCTGTAATGAATTGAAGCATCTCCAGTAATCTATGGATCTTCCGTTTCATTTTGTGGTGTCGCCTGTCTGTTACTTCACCTCAAATTATTTCTTTACCTAAAGTACTTGTTAGTGGTGTAGTTAGGACACACTTCTAACTCCTCTGCTCATTGTGATGGGTCTTGAGCCAGAGCATGTGATAGAGACTGTGGTCAACACCCAGGAGTCGTCCAGAAGGTAGGAGCTGGGGTTATTATTGGTCACTAAACCACTTGCCACCTTTCCTCTCTACCTCAGCCAGTCTTCAGGTAATTGTTTATATCTAAAATTTTAGTGATATACATTATTAACTAATATTTTGATAGAAAAAAGCATTGACTGGTAACATGTGCATGGGATTGTGGATAGTAACCCAAAATTACTTGCAGGTATAAGTTTAAGGGCCATTTACTATTGGTGTAACAGGAGATGAAATGTTGGCACTCATAAACAACTTGTTCAAATTAATGAGACACATTGTCATACTTCACCAGTTTCTGATTGCATTTAGTCCATAAGGTAATATCCTACATACTGTAAGGTACTGAAGCTTTTAAGTACAGTATACTGTACTGTATAATGTTTGTAGAAACTTCATGTAAATTTATTGCTCAGAGATCATTTATAAAGTTTGTGTGTGAATCTGTGAATCATAAAGAAAAAACTACTGTGCATTTCAGAATCCCTCTCCAATATATGGTGATATGGGGATGATGGGTAGAGGATCACCAGCCGGGGGCATCCCTAACAGTGCTGGTCTCCCAGCTGGCAGCCCTAACATGGCAGCACTAAGCCCAGGTGGTCGTGCAGGTATGGCCAACCTTGGTGGTCCAGCTATGGCGGCTATGGCTGCAATGGCATCTGGCAGTGGTGGAGGACCCGGTGTGCATGGCGGGGCACATGGGAATATGAAAATGCCTCGTTATATGCCGCCAAGTATGCTACAGCAACAGGTAATTTATTCTTGTGTCTTATTTATTTTTGCCTTTCCAAAGGAAAAACCGAAATATACTTACTGTATCTTTTTGTGTTCTAAGTAATGGTCATTCAACAAGTAACCTAAGACATTTTCCCCATTTGGTAGATCCTACCATGCCTGAGGGACTTTGTATAATATCATGATGGTTGTATTCTATCTGGACTTATTTATTTAGACGTCATAATTCACAATACTATTAACTGAAAGAAAATATACTTGTTTTCGTATTTTCACCTACCATGTAATATTCAATTCAGGAAAACCCTGAGATGCGATATTTCACTTTAACGGTGATTATAAATTAATACCATATACGATCAAAACATCTCGCTTTAACCATGTCCATCAAATAGCCATTGGTTGGGTAGTTTATATACTGAAATTAATTGCTGTCTTGCAAGGATTCCAGTAATGCAAGTTATATTTTTCTACATCAAGTCAGTGACTTTTTATAAGCAAACAATATTTAACCCTATGCACTGAGCATAGCTTACACTTGTCACTACCTTCACTTGTCAGCCTACCTACACGCCACCACACGGCCAACCCGTGCACTACAGCCTTGTTTGATTCTCTGTCAATCGTAAACCCTCCATCGCAAGGATCCGCGATTATTGGTCAGCATCGTATTTTGTATTTATCATCAGTATTTTTTTTTCTTATATAGTGAGAGGACTGCACTAACATTTAGACTGAACTGTGTTATAGTGACTGAAGTGATATTTTCTGTGTTTTTGTGACTGTAAAGTGCATCGACTCGGTTGTTTTGAAAATGTGAGCAGTGTCGGCCGCTATCATAATTTTTTTATCATTGGTCACTGATTTTGTGTCAAGGGATTTTGCTCTATTTTTGTGACTGTGAAGTGAGCAGTGTAACTTTGAAAATGTCTGGGAAGGCCAAGGCATCCAAGACAACCATGTCTCTGAGGTGAAGCTTGATATTGTTAAGCAGCATGAGACACCCCAGAGGCTGTGTGGGAGTCAAAGTAATTTCTCCACTCCACCTACAAGAGTCCTCTTAGCCTCGAAGGGGACATGTGATGATGACTAGACATGTACAATATGATGTGGTGAGTGTTCTTTAACTTGTTTTTTACTGATAGTAGTAGTTTAGGAATTTTTTTGTCCGTGATACATGTGTGTTCAGGGACTGGTTGGGAACGTATGCCATTGGACCCCATATTATAATGCTCCCTGTCTACGATATTTCTCCTAGCGATGGGTTTTCAGGAACATAACCCCATCACTTGTATGGCCCTAAACGTGTTTCTAATGATCAGTAAACCTTTCTCCCTCTGACATATCATTAAATAAATTTATTTTATATATTACATACATAAAAAAGTACAACACATTTTGAATACTTTACTGACCAGCCCAGTTATGATTTTCATCATCTTTATCTTCCCTCTCGACTCTCCCCTTGGTACTTCACAGCAGATGGTGATGAATGAATGAAGATTAATCTGTAGCGAACTGTTGATTCGTTCATCCCATATGCCCTGCATGCCACATACCTCATGCCACTATGGAGTTTCTTCATTACTTTGACTTTCTCGACTTAAGTCAACACTTTTCTATCTCTCTTAGTCTTCTTTGGTGTGTTACCGCCCTTATCACCACCTTTAGAAGGACGTTTTGGAGCCGTGATGGGATTTTACGAACACAAAACACACGGGTCGCGCGAGATGAATACAGTGGTGTAATGAGGGGGGTTAAGACAGAAAGTATAGACAGATATTATAGTAGAGGGGTTGTGAAGAGAAGAAGTTTGGCAGCGTGGCTGGTTGGTTATTGAGGTGTTTATTATACTCGTAGGGGGGAATCTTTCTAAACACCACTTTCAATACAACTGAATGGCATGGACACATTAATAAATCAATATATCGAAGTTACTAGACACTGACTCTCTGACACAAACGTGGAATTGATACACTTCCCACCATAAGTAACTCGCCCCTGCATCACTCTGGCAAAGACTCACGTGTGACCTGAGGGAGACCGAGCAGGTGCTGTTGATGGGAGTACTGGACTATGTCTCCTGTGGGAGACTCTGTTAGCTGGAGACGCGGTGCTGGGGAGGGAAGTCTCCCTCTGGGGAGGAATTATCGGCACCCTCCCTATTACAATAATAATCCGAATGCGACTGTCCTTTGGAGGGAGCTGCAGGGCCTATATATTGACGATCTCCAGCCGGAAGGTGTTGTCACTAATCTGGGTGTGTCTGGTCAGGTGACAGGGTGTGCTGGGTGGAGGGTAGCTTCTTGAGTAACACGGCCATATTGCCGGGTTAAGTTAATCGCTGGCGGTGAGAACTCTTGGTCAATGAGACTGACCTCTCTTGGGTCAGGTCTGGACAGCTGTGTTTGCCCAGATGTAGTTTCTTGAGTAACACGGTCATAACGCCGGGTTAACTCTGTCCGTGACCTCTCCTGGGTCAGGTCTTACTGTCACTGTAGGGTGTGTCAACCTATGTGGGTTACCACGTGGGCATCTACTTACTGTTATATGTGTTGTAATTCTCTGGGCTGTAAGCTATGGTCTGATAAACAATCATTACACTGGTTTCTTTTGGAAACTCGTTCGCACGCACAATTCAACTGCATACGAAATCATTAATACAGTGAACCCTTGAAGATCCGGACTAAAAGGGGGCACCACCTGTTTTGAAAAGCCGATTGTCTGAATTTTCCAGCAAATAATAAATGATATAAGAAACACCAAAAATACAGTACTAATGTAGTTTCACTTACCCTATGCTGTGGGTAGATGAGTTTGTGTTGCTGTGATCATATAGTGGGACTGAGAACAACTTATTATTCTGAGTCAGAGGAGCTTTGAATGGAATACCCAAATACTGAGTCTGTTTATTAGCAGCTTCAGCAATCTCCACGCCACGAACTTTAACCTCACGCACGCTGCTGAACAAACCACTTGTACACTGCTTCTTCCAACTCTTTATCCTTCGGCACTTTCATATGCTTCCTTGCACTAGCTGCACTGGCACCATCAACATCATACTTCAGTGCAAATGTGGTCAGTTTATCCTTGGCCTTGCGTATGTCTGACAGTTTGTTTCTTCACGCCGTATTCATCACAGACGCGAGCCACAGACACACCAGATTCTAGCTTCTTTATTAACTCAAGCTTCTGCACAACAGGTAAATGTACAGGCTTTCCCTTCACTCCACCACTTGCTTTAGATGCCATGATTAATAACTAAGGCACTATGTATTGTCAGTAAACATAATACTGTACACAGTAATTCCAGTGATACTGAATATGGCAGGGACAAGCGACACTTTACTACACCGGCTGATGCGCTAACTAGCCGACCCAGGCGTACGCTCAAAATACATTTCTTGTAGTCTAATTTGAAAACGGTGACAGACACAGTGATAAACAAAATATATAAACAATGCATTTACGTACAATAACAATAAGAAACATTATATCATTACTAGAGTGAATGAAATAATATTCCCACAAACAACAATTGACAACTGTTTATGTTTCCCACCTCCTCAGGCACCTGTGTCCAAGCAACTGACGGGTCAAGCAGCGCCTATGGACCTAAAATGTTCTTTGCTCTGGTTTGCGAATGTTTCTTAGGGAAGCTTCTAGGAGGCTTCTTAGCCCAGAACCCCCAAAAAATTTTGTCCAGATCTTCCGGATTTCCCGGGTCCGGTTCTTTGAGGGTTTACTGTACCTGTTGCAATGAAAATATATTTCAGATGAAAATTCACGAATAGTCAAAACTGCAAATAAAATCCACTAAAAACCAGGGTGCACTGTATCCCTCAATATACACACCCCAGTAAGCAAAAATAGATTTTAACAAAGTCATTTTTTACATCTCTCTTTCTTTATACAAAAGCAAACTTTCACCTTAATAAATGATACTGTATCATATTTTTACACCATTTTTCATTAAAGAATGTAATCTTTTAGCTGTCACAAGGTCAAGATGGCTGCCAGAGATGTGCAGACATGTTTATGCTCTACTGCACAATGTTCATCTCCTTCATTGTGAAAACTCCCGGTTCACCCAAAAAAATTCCCTCCCTGGAACAAAACCCCCAATAATACATAGGCTCTACCATTTTTTATTTAAACAAATGAATTTCCAGGAATGCAACCCCTTTGTGTATGAGGGGATACCTGTAATACTGTACTGGAAGTTTTCCTTATACTGTACCTGTACTGAAAGGATGAATTTTACTCCTAACAGCAGATGTATGGAAGTGTTGATCCGAGAATGATGATGATGATGGGTCGAGGGATGCCCCCGGGAGCAGCAGCAGCAATGATGAGGAACCCTATGCATCACTTCAGGCCTAGATTCATGTGACCTCCGTCTTATCCTCCCAACATGGAAGAATATTACCAAGTTCAGCAAGAGAGCCACATGTTTCAGGAAGATGTCAAAGGAAGCTTTTAGGCTGAACATTGAATCTCAGATTTCATTTTGAATATCGGTGACTAAAAGATAAAATGTGTGGAGGGATTTGTCCGGGCGAGAGGGTGCGGAGGCGTGTGATGTTTTGTACATAAAGTAACGGTTCTCAAAGTTGTAAATATGAGAAATGATTTGGGAGTTTCCATGGTTTAATAATGGTGGTACAGTACTTGTAATTATACAGGTAAATATTTTTTTCTTCAACTTTCAGCTCATTGCAGCATGCTACTGTATATGTAGATAATAAATTTAACTGTAATAATTGCCTCACCAGAAGGTGCATTTACTGCAGACTTGCTGGCTATCTGCATAATTGAACGTGACACAAATCTTGATCTCAAGCTATGTATACTATACATCTTTAAGTACTTGTGCACTTGGGCAAGTATAATTTTCTACTTTAAAGTTAAATATTTCATGTAGGTAAAATTTATTATTTTAATGAAATATAACATTTCAATGATTGGAAACTGAAGTATATAATTGGACAGTCAGCATAACACACATTGAATATATCATTGCATTGTACAGTACAGGGATATTCATTATTAATCATTTGTACATGTAATCAAAACTTAATGATTTGTCTTTTAGCAGCTTCCAGTATGTGGTGGCTTCTGTCAGTCTACATGAGTTGACCATTAATTATATTAAGATATACATAATTAGGTATATATCTTTTTTATTCACAAATTAATATTTTCCTCAAGATTTGAATTGTAAGCAAGACTCTTTATCCTTCCAGAAGCTTTACCTTCACAACATAAGGGCTACAGGGTTACATGTCACTCATGTCACAAAAATGGTGTTCCTAGTTTGTTTCGTACTAAATACAAAGTGCTTCACAGTCAGGCCCCTCAAAATACCGATATCTGATTAGCATGTTTCCTGAGGAAAAATTAACATCAATATTTGTAAACATCATTTCATCATCAAGTTTATTTGAAAAGAACAATTGGATTTTCGCTGCACAATGCAGAAGCATTGCTATGTATCGGGTTTGAGATGCCGCACTGTATATTTGTACATATACATATAAGAACGAGAGTGAAATGTTCGGAATTTGTGTATTTTGCCCATAAACCTGACCCCTAGTTGGAGTGATTTAGGACGGTTAGTCGTGTAATCCTGTCATTTCAGCAATGACGTTGGATTAGCTACATTTGAGAACTTTTTTCAACAGTCTATATTAATTTGAGCATCACCTAACAGATAGCAGTTTCCATCACGTTTTATGTTCACTGTGTTTCGTATGACTGTCAGTGTTTGTTGACCGTAGAGGATGATTAGTGCCATGTTGATATGTATGGCTCTTTACATATGTGTGAAATACATTTATAAAAGTAATAAATGATATAGTGAGCCAAACAGCACAGATATTTTACACATACAATCAAAAACTTCTGGAAAACAAAATCCAGACAGGATATTGGCTCACACGTGGTTGGTTTCTCTCTACCATAAATTCTTTTTTTCATCCATTTTAGTGTTGATTCTGAATTTGTTGTATAGTGCCCGTTTATGTGCAAGTTTTGATGCTTCCAAGTTATGCAATATGGGATTGAGTCATTTTATTTATGTGTGTGTGTGTGTGTGAGAAATACTAACATCATGCAGAACTAATTGTATACTCTTCACAGTCTTGAGTTAGCACTGTTACTCCTACATCATTCATTAAAGATAAATTATATCTTGGGTGTTCATAAAGGCTGAACTATCCACAGCCTCTAAGGTCTATGCTCTCTATTATTTTGTAATTGGTTAAATACTTGTGACAATACTCAAAATTTGGTGCTTATTTCTGAGCCATGGTTGTGCAAATATTCCAGTAGCATGATATTCTATTGGTAGCTATTACTTATAATGATATTCGTACTAGTTTAAGATATGTGTATGATATTATTTTTGGACAGGTGTGGTATTGTGTGAGATTGTGTAGATAACTGATTCAGTTCTCATTGTACTGTATATTTTAAGATGCTTAATAATGTGCAGTATGTGGACCAGTAAATGGTAGTTGGTATCGGTAGGGATTGGAAATAATGTCCCGAGTTAATAAGGCCAAAAGTGTTTAAGACTGTTAATATTTATATAACCGAAGAGTCACTTACATGCTGTGAACCTGTCTGAAGGATTAGGTGAGTTCACTCCTTTAATAAATGGGCTTTTCAGGCATCATAAAGCAAAGACATATAGTGGACTGCACAACTAAAAGAAGAAAGAGACAGTTACATACAGAATTCATCAAGTAATGTTTCAGTCTTTGACACTGTAAGGTGTTGGGAAGATGAGTTATGGTATAGTCTTCATGTGACCAACCTTTAATACTGGAGGAAACAAGTCCTCCAAGATATAATGATAAATTTGCCAAATTTTATATCTCCCTGAAAGAGAATATTGTAAAGTGGAATTTAATAAACATATTATCCATGACTAGCACCCAAATTTACTTTCACTGATTGACATGTTTATTAAGTGTATACTGTAATATATTGTCCTGAATGGAATCACCATTTATGATCTAATGCCTTTCAGACTGACTTGTGTGTATCACCTATGTCTTTGAGTTTGGAACACAAATTCTTTGGCTAAAGGTGGGTGGGGCTAATCTAAAGATTAATCAACCCTTCTGTAGCAACTCTAGCCTTAAAAAAGGGTCTGAGATACCATAATTAATGCTTAAGGCTGAGGGTTAACAAGTTATTAAATCACACAACAATCTGTAACCTGTTTTTCATTAGACAGACCCAGCCACAGACAACCCCCCTCCCTTGCCTCTGTCAGACTTGGGGTCTGCTGACTCCACCTCTAATTTGGGGAAAAGCTAAGTACATGACCTTAACTGCTGTGTACTGGGAAGTGTTGCAAGCAGAGCTTAGCACCTCTGTGTTATGTAACTGGTAAAGTGTGTGTTTAGCTTCCTATTCATTGTTTTCAAAGTGTTTGCCTTCAATAAGAACCTAAATAAATGCAGCTGGTGTGATGGTTCATGGAGTTGTATCACCCACACTTTGACTGTCTTGGCCATGCATATTATTAGGAACTAATTCTTACAGCAGATACTTTGTTGAAGAGTTTGTAGGTGCTTTCTGAATAGTTGTTGGATCAATTCTCTTGGAGTTTTCACATTGGTGAATTTGTTTACAGTGTTGGATAATCAACTCCCAATTTTTTTGTAGTTCTTTCTGGAAGGTTCCACACGTGTGCAAGTTATCTTAAAACTTAAGTAAGTGTAAATAAAGTACACCGACCTTAGCAGAAGCTTTTTTTCCCCCTAATATGATTTGATTTTCCTCCCAATGCTGTTTAGTTCAAGACTTATTCAAACTCCTTTTTTGACTGACTAAGAAAATAGAGAAAGAATTTATATAGTGAACAGGTCCTCAATTTTACAAGTTGCCTGTGTGGGTTTTCTAGGTATTGTTTTTACACAGTTATGTTTAGTTTGATCTGTTGGGTTTAGATATGGATATAGAGCCTCCAAGGTAATTGGTTGATATGAATTTTATCAACTGGCTGTGTTCACCATCTCCTTGAGAGTGCAGTGTACTGTATTATTAGTGTAAGTAGGCCATGTTATACCACTTACACGAGGATCCTAACTTTCTGTGGGACAGTGGTTTATATTTTTTCCTGTTGTCCAGGACAACACTGGAGAGCTACATGGTTGAGGGGAGTTGGTAAAGTTAGTTCCTTTTGTCTAGGTTTGTCACCTCTACTATTATATTATGGACTTAATTTCCCTTTTGGACATTGACCAGCTTTTGGAGCTTCAATCCACCACCTTCTTTTCTACATCTGGCTTCGTTACTTACGTTGCTCTTGAAAGACATTTGGTAACAAATGTCTTTCAAGCCTCTAATCCTATTTTTCTGACTGAGCCTGTAAAGGTAATCCAAGTTTATTACTTCACTTAAGGTTCCATGAGGCTAAATGAGCTGGAAGCAAGGGGTGCAGTCTGTCAGTGAAGAGAAAGTTGTACTCTGTGGTTTCACAACTTGTTTCTTAAGCCCCATTTTAAGGGCTAGAGTTGGTATGGGAGGTTTATTCAATTTTTAGATTAGAGTTCCTTGGTGTACATATACAGGAGTCACTCATTCAATACTTGGTCATAAAATGGAATTTCAGACTGAATCCTTCATTTTGTTCTTTATCATCTCTGAGATAATCTTGGCTTATTTAACATTCTTGAAGAAAATTTTAGTTTTTATATATACAATATGTATTGATATTTATTATACAGTATATATATTGTTTTGAACTTGTGATTGATTATTATTGGGACTTGTAACTCATGTGCAGTGATAAGATGGTACTTAAAGCTTAAACTGTTGTCCTGATCTAAGCCTTGATGGGTGGCAGGTAGGATTTTATTGATACAAGCTGGGTACACCTGGAGGTTGTGTTGTATATGTTTAAGGTATTTTTATACATGCATTATGTATTAATTAATTAGGTTCTTTTTGTGTTCTTTATTTTCTTATATTTAATTTACTTGCAAGGTAATTTTATTTAATTATTTCTTTCCATTTAATTTTCTTCACATTTTAAGGCAGTTGTCTTGAAGCAGTTTTGCTGTTTACTGTAGTGTGTGAGAAGGATTTAGGCCTGTAAGTCATTTCTCTCAGTTCTTATATGGATAAAAATAGTACCAGGTACCTTTGGTTAGTACTAAGGTGAGGGTAAGCAATGTAAAATTGAACAGCAGTGTTTCTCTTTATAGTCATTTAAATGTTTGCAGATGATTCAGTACACATGGTGTCACCTAATTTGGGTAAGAAAATGAAATGTATGGTTGAGGAGGAAGATGTTAACTTGGAGGGCACTCAGAGGGGTCTGTGTTCACTATAGGTTGGCTGTCTTTCTGTTCATGACTATAGCAGCTGTGGTCACTCGTTATTGTTGTAAAGTCCTGGACAAAATCTGTCATTTGATTTCTCTCAGGAGGATTTTGCTCCACTACTTAGGAACATCGTGATTTTGTGTAACATCCTTAATGAATAAACATTATCTGTGTTTAAATTCATTTATGCTACATGTCACATTACAAAGCAGAGTAGTAAACAATTTATGAGCCTCTTCTATCCGATACATTAGTACTTCAGGTTTGCCAGTTTCGTTATTTACAAATGGATAAACACTTTTGTTATAATTGTAAAGTTTTGGGTCATTGTTCTTTCAGGTATTAGTTTCAGTGCTAAAGGCCAACTTTAAAGTGCTCCTACATGCTGAAGAATTCTACATTTTGGTATAAATGTTATGGCAGCTAAGAGGGTGAGGAGGATGTGAGTTAGGGGTCTTCCCGGTAATGTATCTCACATGAGTGCAAGAATTTACTTCATTCAGTCGGGGAGTTTAAGTTGATTGACACAAGGTTACATGTTAAGATGTTAAGAAAATGGAATGTAGTTAAAATTGTCAATGCTTTTTGTTATGAGTCAAAAAAGATAGTCTTCTTACACTGGAAGGTCTATTGTCACCCATGGAAGCAATAGGGACAAAGAAATGTAGTGCCTTTTGCTTCCATCTTTGACCCTTGTTTGGTAGTTTCTTGCACTCCTCATAGTCCAAAATACATGTCAAAGACTGCCAAAACTCAATTATCTTTTTTTTATTCTCTCACAATATTGTACCTCTCATATTCCTACCTTATGCACTCTGCCTTTTCTTTAGCATAAACGCTAAAGAAACTCATCTTGTTTTTTGTTTTTGTTTTTTCGGGCCGAGCAAGTGACAGTTACTCAACTTAAAAGGTAGACAAACCAACATAAATGTCAAGTAGTCTACCTAAAGAGTGAACAGACCAACCAGCAAGTGTCAAATACCCCTCTTACAGGATTGACCAGCAGGGGGCAACTACATCAGGGTAGACACACCAATAAGTGGAAATATCCTTCTTATGTTTTCCTCTTCTGTTGCCTCATTTTCCTTAATCCATAAAAGTGGGGTGATTAGTATTTAATAGTTTGTGAATACTTTATGTACCATCCTGCTTAGAACATGAGAAAAGGCAAGTTGCTGGTGATTCCTTCCACAAACTGGCTACAGAATCACAGAGGAGATAGGACAAACGCATAATTGCTGTACAATATATATCAATTTCAGCTGTTGTCTAAACCCACCCATGTTATTCACATTTACTTATTTTGTAAATTAGTTATCAAAAGCCGTGGAATTGTATTATTTAAGTAACTGACTATTTTAGGGCCAATTATGTTCTAGTAATGAATAATAAGGAATGTAGGCATCATTTCAGTTACCTGAGTGCAGCATTTTTAAAGTAGTTACAGTACTCATTTAATTTCTCTTCTCTGCTGTTACTTTACAACTGTTATATTGATGGTGTTACTGTGTGTTTTATTACAGTTTGTTATTCTCTTAAGCTCTTAGTGTTTTAAACTGAACATAATTCATATTACAGGGTATATGGAGTAGGTCCTTGGCCATCAAATCATGTACGTATATACAATAGTCCTCAAGTATTATTAGTGAGATAACTTAATATTTTTCTGGCTTATGTCCTCTAGTCAAGTGGCTCTTCTAGTGCTGGTAACTTTCAGGGATACTGTACTGGGTTCCTTGTCACCCCATTTTATTAGCAAAGTTGATCTGTTAAGTCATTTTGAATAAAACCGTCCCCTTCTTTCCCCATCACACCAATTTACCTCAGAGGAGAAGATGAGGTGTTCTCTTGGAGAAATTAAAGAGTTGAACTGAGAGTAAACATGTTTTTCTGACTCTGGAGTGAGCCACCAGCATTGTCAAAGTAAGCAGACAACAACACAGCCACAAGCGCACCCAAACATTGGCACGAAAATCCTAAATATCATATGATGTCCACTGCCCTTCTGAGTTTTCCTCTCAAACATCATATGATGTCTGCCATCCTTTAAGGGTTATTAGCTGTATCTGTTCAGTCATACTTCACACCAAAGCTATTTGTTTTCATCATTGTTCTGGTCAATCCACATTTTAAAATACTGTTCCCAGTTGACTGATAATCAAGAGCAGATATTTCACACTAGCTCTGCCCTGGCCTGATAATGTTACTACTAAAACCTAATGCCCAGCCCCTTTATGAAAGATGAGGGATTATTGATAGAAATATCACAGTTCTTGAAGTTATCATTCAAGGAAGACCAATGTTATGTTTTTATGTTCACTATTTCATAAGATTTGTTGACTTTTTTTTACCATCTCCCAATTGTGAATTAGTGTATTGGCTTAGGTGGCCAGCCTTTTGGCCTCACACCACCTGCTGTAAAATTTCTCTGACATCATACCTCCGTCCAAGTTATTTGTGGATTTAGCTCTTTGAGAGACCATCACCCCAATGATGGAAGAGATGTGAGCTGGCTCGTGAGCTCAGGATAACCATGAGCTGGGTGCTGGTTTGGGGGTTATGTTTGATGACCAAGCTTGGTTGGTTTCATTCTATTTTCCTGGGGATTTAGTAAGCTTACATTTGATGTTTTTGGTTAAATCAATTTGAACCCTCATGAGTCTGCAACTAGCTTGGATGAGTTTGGCTAGTCAGTGAAGAGCATTTTTGTTAGAGTATACTGTATACTGTATAACACATCTTAATCAGACAAATCTAAGGTACCTCCATGCAACCATAGTATACCAGTGGAACCTTCATACAATTGACAAATCTAGACCTGTTTGCCTCTGGACTTTGCCTTAGTATTAGAAACCACTCATGATGCATTTGAATGTGAAGTTATGAAAATTGCAGAAAGAGTGATTGAGAAATTTATATGAAAAGAGTGGACACTAATGTAATGTACAGGAGTTTGGCTTCATGCCAAGCAAGGGAACTACAGAGGCAACTACAAGAGAAATATAGATGGACGGGAAGGAAAGAAAGATTGAATCTGGCAAAACAAGTATTAAAAAAGTGGTGTGAGTGAAAGACCTGTGGTGTAAAGTGGAAAATGGCCATGTTCTGTCTTTAAGTAAAGTTTTGGCAATAACTCGATAATCAGTGCAATGAGTTTGGAAGGTGAATACAGAAGAGGAGTAGTAGAGTAGATGGCATACTGCATTACTTTGCTGACTTTGGTGTGGCATGTGCAGGCAATCATGTGTCAATGGGTGACATGATCAATGCTGGAAGTGGTGCTAAATTCAGCTCAGTTGCAGGAATCAGAAGTGGATGATATATATAAACTTAAGTGAACTGAAATGGCATTGGTGAGGTGGATATGTAATGGGACATTAAAAGATAGGAAATGCTATTCAAAGGTAAGAGGGTGGCTGGGTACTAAGAGCACAGTATTGCTGAGGTTTTACATAGAGGTAGGCCAAGATAGTTTTGTTATGTGGAGAGAGTGGGGGGAGACCAACTAGGTCAAGAGATCCCAGAGTCTAAATATGGAGGGGAGAGAGCTTGCAGACCGAGAATAACACGAGGAGAGAGAGGCCGTAAGAAGTGACCTCAGAGATAAGAAACTGATAAGAGAAGTTGCAAAAGTCCATGCAGCATGGGGAGTTGCCATCAGCTAAACACTGCTAACCCAACTCGCACAAGCATGGATAATGGATATTTCTAATCTAACACACCTGCTAAGTTGCAACTTAACGTCGTTTTATAGTAAGGTTTGGAGTTATGAGATAATGAGGTTTAGATTAGAGTGTTCCCTTTTTAATGAGAACTCCTTATAAGTGCTTGAGTGTAAAAGCTTCTTGTACTTAATGCAGGTTATGTTAGTTATGTTGGCACTGAATAATCACAAACGGTTGCTCTGCTCATCAGTGGGAAGCTGGTAGTGATTGAGAGAACGGGTTTGATTTGATTTCCCTAAGACAGAAAAACATTTATTTTGTCTTACTAAGACAGTCTTGTCTTGCATAGTTTAAAACTGCATGTGGGCATTGAAGAACTTCTCTGGAACTTTCCTTCACCCTTTGGCTTAGTATTATATCTCATCTTAAAAAAAATTGGATTGGACCCCCACGAGAAAGAGAGTGCCTAGCTTGGTGAACTTCCAACCTTTCAGTTTCATTTCCTGTAAGCAGTATTAGTATGTAAATTGGTCTGTGTAAATTTAATACAACAGTACTGTACTTTCTTACTTTGAAACTGGTAGTTAGGCTAATGCTAAACCAAGTGTATTAAAGCTACTTATGTGGTCCTTCTCCCATAGAGACTTTGCACTGCCTTGGAGTGGTAGAGGGGATGCCTTTAATGGAAAATGAAATGGAAGTGTGGTTTTTGTCTTCTCAGTATCTCTGTATTAACTTGAGTGAAGGAAGTTTTGGTTCCTCAATACTTCCACCAATATGTGGGAGAATCTGTTCATAAGAGAAGTACATTAGTGTGTTATATTTTTTTTTAGACATGTCATTATTTGCTTGTGCTGCTAAACAGGAGTCATCAAAATTTATTTCCCTGTAGGAAATTTCCACAGTTGTGATTTTTATTACAACTCAGTTCTCTTGCTATACCACTGTAAAGCTTATTGAAGGAACATTGAATGTTCAAGCAGAAGATTTGTCTGGAGAGGCAGTTTTACCTACTGAATGGAGTTTGAACAACGAGTCCTCTTTTGGTTTATTCTTGTGGATTTCATTGTCTAACAATAAGACTCAATTATTATTTATCTTTTCCTTATGACTGCACTCATAGAGTGAGTGTTATCGTTATACATAAAAACTTTTGATGGTTTCTGTTTATTCACTTTTCCCACCAATAAGAGTACAGTGCTTTAGGTGTTACATGGAATTTTGGTCTTGATAGTTCCTTTTTATTAGTATAGATGTCAGATCTTATCAGTTCCCTTTAATGTTCTTTGTAAACCTTCTATTTCTTACTATAGTACTTATGTTTTGGAGAAGATTTCCTGTTTACTGCTCAGATTACAGACAACTAAATTGACAGTGTCAAAGGACTGAACAGTAAGGGGAGTTAGTGAAGGTATATTATATTCCTGAACTTAATAAATGGCAAATAATAAAAGGATCAACTATGGTAAGGGGCTCTTAGCAGCACTGCCTCATCCCTGTTATCTAGCTGACTTTGGATTATGAGGGCTGCTTGCCTAAAGGGCATAAGCTTGAAGTGGATATTTGAACCTTAAATCCTGTTTTCTTAGCAGAGCTTTGTCAACGCTTTTTGGGTTTTAGAATGGTGGATTGAACTTAAAACAAAGATGGTGGAATTTAACTTAAGCTTGAATTATGCTGATTGGACAGACATTATTCTAATTGTCTTCCCATCTCCATAGGACAACTGTTGCACCTAATGTAATGTGTATGGGAGAGTAATTGGTTTACCCAAAATGAGTTAATAATCAATCCTGTGATACAATGAGGTACATTAACCCTTAAACTGCTCACATCCTCCCAGACCTTACCTCATATGCCCATAAAATTAACTAAGGAAAATTTTACATTATGAAAAGATAGTATTCTATGTGAAAATAAAAAGTAACATATACTCCTGCCTTCCCTGTGTCATATGAGTGCATAGAACGTGTGGCAGCAAAAACCCCAAAGCGGTGACCATCAGCCTTACCTAGCAATAACTCGCTCTCACTTGTTTCGGATTCTGATACATCAGACCCGATACTTCCTCTTCATGACTGCTGAAGACGATCCTTTGGTACTTGCTTGGGGTAATAAACATGGGATGCTTCGGCTTCTTCCAAGGGCTCTGGCAGGAAGTGCCGGGTGGTATATCGTTTATGGTGGCTAGAGTGTAACTAAGCCCGTGTCATGAGTAGGCTCGCTTATCTTTCCACATCAGTACAGAAACCCATGGGTGCCTGGAGCAACCACTTGTCATCTGTGGCCTTGAATGTTTCGTGGAGTAGTTGCATAAGAGGCATGTCAGTGCCAAGCAGTTGAAAGGTTAAGGGACCTAGCACACCTATTTGAGCAGTCCATATTATGTGCTGTCTGACTATGAGTTCTACCAGAAAATAGGATTTTGGGATTAGTTCACCATTTGTTCATACATTAAAAATACCTAAGTTGAATTTTGGAATTTTCTATTAATATAGTATTATGAATAATTGAAGTACAGATATACTTATGTACTGTAAACCAGTAAACATAGTGGACCTGAATCCTATTATATTTTAAGTATTTTCTCTAGTACTAAGATAATTATTGTGGCTTATGGCTTTGATCACATTTAACTTACCAACGTGTACAACTTTTACTGGTTTGGCATACCGTACTGTACTGTATAAAACAACTAAATATGTTTTATTTTCCCAGCTTTCAGTTTACTTGCTTTTGTTTTCACAAACATTTGTAAAGTACTTAAGAAATATATTGTACCTGGTTGTTGTCTTGTAAATTTTGAGTTTGTGAAAACTTATTGAAGTCAATTTATCTTTTTTATAATTTCACAAGACATGAAAGTTGTAATTGGTTTCATCAACTTTTGTAAATAACAGTAAAGTACAGTATGTATGTTTAGGTGTTACCTAAGAACTAAAGTCATTTACAAACATTTGCTGCTGTGTCACAAGTAGCTTGGCCACCATACAGCACATACTGTACAGCATCAGTCACTGCTGTAATAAATTTAACTTCCAGAAAACTTGAGTCCTTAAGATAATTAGGAACTCCTTTTGGAATAAATGTTTACCCATATGTCATTCTTCTATATTTCTTTTGTGTTTCCCCAATGATTTTGTGCTAAAAATTACCATGTCAGATTTTGATAATTATTTTATTTACCATGTTCTTGGTCTGTGTGACTACTAATACTATGCTTGATTATGCTGCACATAATCGTTCACACAGTATGTAAGGTATGATCGGTCTCTTATTCATAAAACTCTGTCACTAGTTTATAACTGAAATGGAAATTTTACAAGAAGGGAAGAGTATTCTGAGTTGGCTTGTTGCAAAAACCAGTAAAACTGATTTTAATTATTAATGTGTGTTAACAACTTTGAACAATTTTGTGTGTTTTGAGTTCATCTTGCAACCTGTGACAGTCTTAGTGCAATGTGTATGTATTTATAACTGGTGTAAATTAAATAATATGCTTTCTTTTTGCAACATTCTTTTAAATAATTGTCTTGTCAGTGTTAGTAATAACACACCTTAACAACATTATTAAAAGGGCAGGCTAATCATAGCTGTAACATTGTCTTGTATACTGCTGTGTTATTTAAAGATACAATACAAGACAAATATGTGTTTTCTAGAAAAAAATTTTGCTAATGTTATTTGTATAAGAAGTTTGAAAAATCGTGAACTCTTTCATAGCAGCTCTTAAACCTAATGTCACAAGCAGCTTTGTCTAATAATGCTTTCCTAAGTTAATTTTCATGTTGTAATTAAGGTGGAAGGTGAAAACCCAGTTTACAATTATTATCACGATATACTGTATAAACCAAACAAATGTTTTACTTCTTGCATTGCTGTAATGAGTTTTAGCCACTTTGGAAAGTGAGATTACTGAATGAGTATTTTCTTATTGAACCATACCAAACTGTTTCATACAAGACCTGTCCATTTTTTCTGTGTTGTGTTCAATCTTTGTGTGATATTGGTGCTGAACTATTGAGCAAGCTGTGGTTGTTGATATTGTAGGTTTTGAAACCAGACAGAATTGTCAAATGATTTGTACATAAGTACTAACTGTTTATTCTAAGATGATTTTGAACAAGAGTGCAGCTTCTCAGTGATGAACTGTTGCTCCTTTCTGATGCCGAGGGCAGCTATGGTTACAATGTTAATATGAGGTTGAGTGTAAAGTTTTTATCATTTAAGTGACGTCTGTGTACAGGCTGGAACTCAATATGTATACCTCTAGGAAATAGATTAGAATTTGATGTGAGGACTAAGTTGTAACTGATAGTATTCAGTACAGTGTTCAAAGTTGTTCCTAGAAACTCACAAAGGTGCACAACCATTATTTCTAATTTCTTATGTCGAGCTATTTTTTGTGCTTACCGTGGAGGTAAATCTAACTCCTTGTAAATTAAAGTTTATATGCTACAAGATTATATACATTGTCATTACGGTCTGCAAGTTTGTGTATTGTTTCACAGTTGTCAACTTTTAGTAAACATGCTATCCAGAGTTGATAGGAAACAAGATGGATGTAAGTGTATCATTGGATTATTATGTTCCATAATCGAATGTTCTTCATAAAATACAATACCCTTTGGCACTGGTACTTGGAGCCCTGGTACCAGAAGACAAAGCAATTAATTTACATAACGCCCATAACTTCTCATCCAGTGCTTCTGTGAATACATCATACTGTTTTTCATTTTAACTTTATTGCTTAATTGCTTCCACACATCAGTTCTGCATTCATAATTTCCACAGTTTTTGTGTAAATACTGTACCTCTTCTGCTCTAGTAGTGATCCTGTAGTTGTGGATATGACCTGTAGAAAATGTTAGTGATTTATTTTTCTAGTAAACAAGTAGTATTTGTTTCAGTGACCTACTGTATCAAGTTTTTCAATACTTAAAATAAACTTTCTATGTATTTAGTTGTTTAGTTGTGTGACACCAAACATGTAAACTATATGAACTTTGAGACTGAAAATACATGTGAAATACACAAACTTCCTTCTTAAAAATGACCATCTCTGTCTTAGAAATAACCTGGTTGAAGATCAGTAGCAGACATGTGTAAGATTAAAAGAAAATATTAAGGGATGGACAGTACAGCTGCTCCCCAACTTAGGACGGGGTTAGGGATCCAAATCCAGGTCAGAAGTCAAAATGGTCATAAGTCGAAAATGCTTAAATAATACATAGAAAATCTAAAATGGGTGTCTCTTTTTCTTCTCAGCACCACAAAACTCTCACTTTTAAGCTTGCCACCATTTTAAAGTGAATTACAAATGAAAATTTTTTCAGTACACAGCGCAATCACTGACGTTGAGACTCGAAAATACATAATTTGACAAAATTTTGGTACGACTGGGTTTATGTCCGGGTGGTCGTAAGTCGAGTAGTTCGTAAGTCGGGGAGGAGCTGTACATGATAATCCTGAAACTTGGTAGGTCTCCTTTTCCGCTGCTGCCGCTGACATACTGGGATAACTTCAGAGTCCTCCCTTGGCACAGCAACCTCAGTCGCATTCTCAGAGGGTCCCTCTCCTGTCACGTCCAATTCCGCTAATCGTGAACGGTGCTCCTCTTCCTGGACCCTGGTCGGGTTCCCCAAATCAGTACGGCCCTGAGTTCTTCCAGGATATCTGGTCAGGTCCTTGTCGGTGGTGGGTGACTGTTCTTCAGAGACTTCCCAGGTGTACTGCCCTGGCCCATGATACTGCCATAGACGATTGACGTAGACTACCTTCGGCTGAGTCTTCCTTCTTTCCCTGATCCGGTAAGTCACATCTGAAAGGCGTTCCATTACAGTGTATGGTCCTTCCCATGGACTTTGCAACTTAGGTGACTGACCCTTCTTCCACAGAGGGATATAGAGCCAGACCTGGCTTGCTTTGACATCATGGTTGAGCTTCATCACTTCACCCGAGAACTCGACAGCTCATTGAATATGATGGTTGATCCTCCGTCAACCTTTCTTGGAGGCATTTACATAACTGATGGTTTCTTCAGGAAGTTCTTCATCAGGTGGTCTTTCTGTCAGCAGGGCCACTGGCAGCCACAGTTCGTGCCCCAGCATTAGTTTTGTTGTTGTGTATCCAGTTGACTCAGAGGCAGCCGAATGATATGATATCAGCAGAGCAGGCAGCATCTGATCCTATTGTCTTCCACTCAACACAGTAATTGCCCAGTTCTTGTCCCAAGGTCCAATTAAACTTTTCTACCATTCCATCTGACTGTGGCCGAAGTGGAGTGGTCCTAGACTTCCTTTTGCCCAATAGTTTACAGCCCTTGCTGAACACAGCTGACTCAAAATTTCCGCCCTGTACTGAGTACAACTCGTGGGGCACACCAAACCATCAGAAGAACTGGTCAACCAGAATCCTGGCAACAGTCTTGGCTTCCTGATTTGGGATGGCATACGCTTCTGGCCACTTAGTGAAGTAATCCATGGCCACACAGATGTACCTATTCCCATCTGCAGTGAGTGGCAGAGGTCCCTCTTCAATGGTGCACCTGCATGGTACTATCGTGCACCAAAGTCGTGTCCACTACCCAGCCACAGTGAGGGTTCGAATTGCCTTGAGTCTGAAGTTTCAAAACAGCTGGGGGAAATGCTATGGTCGGCCAACAGATGTCGCCCACTGTAATATGTGGTGGGGGGGGGGATAGTCTAGTAACAGGCTGTGTGTAGGTGGAGCATAACATCGTGAATTCCGCAATCACTGATAACAATAAGAATGTCATGAAGATAGTTAATATTATTAAGCATGGTGAGAGATGTGTAACGGGTAAATAAAAGCACTACAACAACCATATCTCTGCCGTTCATGGCGACTGATGGGCACACCAGTAATTAATTCTCCGTGACTACCATTACTAGTAGTCACGGAGCACAGGGTTGCCAACTCGGATTTTCAAATGTCGCTAGGCTGGTACCTAAAAGTAGCTAAATGTCGCTAAATCTTCCATGGAAAGTCGCTAGCTATTATTCCCCTTCAGAATTTGATGCAAATTATATTTTCATAATGCCGACTATAATGGACGGAGTATAAATAAAATGCATTATGTAAAAAATAAAATATTATTTTTTAAAGTTTAATGTGCACACTTACCTATTATTCAATAGTAATTGCATCCCAGTCCTCTTCGTAGTCGTCGGTGAACAACTGTAGAGTGGAAGCATGTAGCGTTGTCTAGGTTCTCGTGCAGATATCTTGTAACTGTATGCCTCCACAGTCCCTATCTTTCTTAAAATATCACTAGGAAGTTCATAACTTGCATAACAGGTGTTCTGTCTTTTTACCCATACTTTATTGTAAGAATTGCCTTTAATGTCGATAGTTTCATTTTTGTTGCGCAATTTTGATTTCACAAAGTTCATATTACTAAATGTGCGCTCTACATCTGCGTTTGAATGCGGAAGAGATAAGGCAGCGAGTGCAATTTCAGCCAGATCATATGGTTTTCACCTGTCGCATCTCTGTAATTTGCCACTTCTGACCACAATTTTAGGGTGTTAGATGTTTCGTCCAGATTGTGTGATGCAGTTTTTCCACTGAAATCAATCTTGGTAAGGGTGCTGAAATCTTCTGTAAATAAGTGTGCCAAACCAAGTATATCTGATTTAATAGGCTTCAAGCATTCATCGGCACTCAGAAAAATAGACTGCAGCACACGAATGTTGTCAGGTGTTGCCGAAGTTGTTTATGAGTTCAACCCGTTCAAATGCATTGTCCCTAACCCCCTGCATATATTATGGCTCGAAATTAGGAAAACCGAGTTTTCATGGACAGTCCAAAAGTATCCAGAAAGTCGCTAGATTTCTGTGGATATCTCTAGATTTGCGACAAATCGCTCTAAAATGTCGCTAGAAAATAACAAAAAGCTCTAGATCTAGCTACAAAGTCGCTAAGTTGGCAACTCTGACGGAGAATACACAAGTTGTTACCAGGATTGGCGCCACTCACACCAGGGGGAGGAGGTGATGTCGAACACTGTAACATGCCGAGGTCTCATTCCTACCATCGTTGTCACCAACAGGTAAGTCACATTAATTTGTCAGCATAGCCCATGTCGTCCTTATACTATTGCAGGGTGTCCCATGAGACAGCAAATATTTATAGAGGTGAAAGAATATGTGATATTGAGTTGAAAATCTTCTCTACACATAAGCATTTTTCGGTTAACTTTAGAAGTGAGGTGGGTTTTAAAAATTACGCAGGGCAAAAATTTTGCCATGTTATAATTTATTTTTCTTACCAATTGCAGCCATACTGTGTGCTGTTGTAATCTTTATTGGTGGATTACATAAGGCCTATTAATAGCGTGAAAACCCATTTGAAGATACTGTAATGTTCCATAACTTGCATTAAACATCATCATACGTTCACGAGTTCCAACTTGTGCCTAGCCTCCCACCCCGCGCTCTCTACCCACCCAGCTATTAAACCTCATAATTTGAGCATCGTGGGTTACCACACCTAAATACTAATTGACTACTTATTCTCTCCCCACACTCTCCCTCCACCATCCCCCCACTCCACTCCTCCCTCCCCCACCTCTTCCCTTCATCCCTCCCCAAGACTAACGTCAATCGAACATTCCATCCCATCACATTACCTTCCCCTGCATTCCCCAACCCCCCTCCCCTTATTTTACCCATGGCGACGATTTGGACTACTGTAATGAACACTCACAGAACCAACGACATGGCTCCTCCCCCTTGTATTTAGAGTTAAAACCTTTACAACAAAGGTCAATCCCACGTAACTTGAGCCGGGTTAAGATATGTGGAAAAAAACCAGCAACTCCCATGGCCACCCCCTACCCCAACCTAAAATCATAGCCACCACGTCTCTATCTCTATCTATAATGAAAAGTGTAACTCTACTCAGAAAAAATAATGAATGGGCCCTCCAAACAAATTAAAGATGAGGTGCACCCCACCCAAATAGGGATGGGCTCTCCATTTCCTTTCGCCTTCTTTTCTCCACATCCTTTCCCCCCTCCCATCGCCCCAGTCACCCCAACCTACCACCCAATACCATGCATTGGGCAGAAGGCCACACACTTTCTCTCCTCCTAAAAGTCTGTTCCGTTTAACCCACATTCTTTCACTACTAAACCTTCTTCCCCCTTTCCTATATTTCGCCATCGCTATCGGTATCTCCCGCCTCAACTCCGCCATTTGTAATGGTTGCCTTGTGTAATTTGTAAAATCCACCTCACGGCTAAACATAAACCAAAAAATCCTTATATGTATATAAGTTTTATACTCAGAATCACATATTCTTTCACGTCTACAAATATCTGCTGTAATTAGTGGGACACTATTATAATTATATGACAGTTATTATATGAGCTCCTTAGTTAACTTCACCATAAAAATATGGTGTTTGATGTGCTATGCGTTTGGTGGTTATATTTGCCGCACGTTACCTTACTCGGTTATGTTACATCCCCAGTTGCAACCTGGGAGTTTGGGTTGGGTAATGTAGTATTTTGAGCAGAAATGGAATTCAGAACAACTCGATGAACATGAAGAAAAACGTTTTTATATAACGAACCCTAACGTAATGTAACCTATTACAGTTATATGTAATCTGGGACGAACATGTCATAGCTGAAAATTGTCAAAGAAATGTGTAAAGCAGTGGAAAACCATATATTTTGATTACCGGCGAGGCTAACTACCTATAAACAATTAATATTTGACGATTGGCAAAAGTCCTGGGAAAATGAACCAACAAGTCATAAGCTAAAATGATCAAATCATCAGTTCATCTTTGGTCATCATCAAAACAATCCTCTCAACATCACGAAACTATTCTGAATCGTCTAAGAATTGGGCATACCGAATGACGCATGGCCAACTCACGACTATCTTTCGTTAATAATTATCAGTTTTATTTTAGCTAATGGTGGA